ACATTCTCCGCACTCTCTCTCTTTCATCTCAATCAAACGCCTATAATCAATAATTTTCATTCCACTTTGCTCGCAAACAATGGCCCTTTGGCAGACAGACACAGAGAATTGAAAGATTCTAAAGAAGGGGGTGCCTAAAATCATATCAAACTCGCCACCCACATCTCCTAACTTGAAAAATGTTCTGTCAAATCTTCTCCCTGATACCTCGTCCGAAAGATTTGCGATCGTGAAGTGTGTCAACAACGGTGGAGGGGAGTTGGTTGTAACTGCCAAGCCTAGCTGCGTAGGCCGAACCAATTGGCGACGGTGAAGTTTAAGCATTTCCGCCGCTTGATCTGTTAATAAATTAATTTCGGCCCCTGGATCAGCTAAGGCTCTCAATCGTTTGCCATTGCACATGAGTTCGATAATGACACGAGGAGCTTTGTGTTCGGGTACGCACTCTTCTCTTTCAGTTTGTTTGAGTTCCTCATCCAAAGCTTGCAACGCAGCGACCGAAGCTTGATCAAGTTCTGGAAATTCGGCGGTCGCGGCTGCCTTGGCGTACGAGATTGGTGGTCTGCCAGCTGGAGGTAAGGTAGCTCGTCCTGCTGTCGGCGCTGAAGATGGAGGCGATGACCGAGCCCTTGGAGGCACGTAGTTGGCTGGTTTTGGTGGAGCCACGTATCCTGGAGGGAACGAAACCTTCTGTCTGACGTAAGGTCCCTTGCAAGCACGGTATTCGCTTCCACAATAGCTTTTACAGAAATGACAGATGCCCAACACATCACGATACGATGCGATCTTCCACTGATACTCTTCGTCGGTCAATCTTGGTGCTGAAGTGTAAGACGATGAGGTGCTGGCTACATGGGGTCGAGTCGGCCCAAAAGAGCTGGGCTGCGCGGCGACCCGAGACTTCTTGTTGATAATTCTTGAGGCGATGAGTGAGTCATATAAGGTTTCACATTGACTTTCGAACTGATGGTAAGTGAAATCCTTGTCGGCCTTAGTATATCCCCACAGCTTCACTCCAGCCTTGAGTTCTTCTAGCATACCATACTCCACGAACTTTGCTAACTGGTAATCGTCCAACTTGACGTCATCAAAATTGATCAAGTTCTGAATTGTACGAGCTCGAGTACTATAAGTTTTGAAGTCCTCGTACGACGACATGCGTAAGTGCTGGGCTTTCTCGTACAACTTGTCCATCCAATCGTTAGGCAAGCATGCTGCGAAAAGAGTTTTCACAAATGAGTGCCAAGAACCTCTGATGAATCTGTCGAATCCTCCTTCGTAGAAGGCATGAGCGTTTGGTTCAGTAAGGTAGTTGCCGACTAAGGTGATTCGATCTTCGTCTAGTATGACGCCCTTGGTACGAAAGAAAGTTTTCAAGGATGAAAACCACGTCAAGAAAGCTTCGACATCGTGATACGGACCCTTGAAGACAGGTCCATCAGCTGTGCGGAATCTCGTGAGGTCGATGCTGCCCTCCTCTCTAGATACTGTCGTCGCTGCGTCTGCTGCTGCATTGGTCTGATTTTCTGCAAGTTTTAAAACAATTTCTTCTAGCTTTTCCATGCGTCTATTCCCGGCAAGCTGAGATTCCAGAACGAGTCTAACTAGATCGGGCATAGGCTTGTCGTCTGCTGCTGATTGGCCCTGCTCGCTCATCGTGGCACAACCCTGCTTGCTTTTCAGATGTTGTAAGTACGGCGGTGCGGTCTTAAATGGTAGTAAGGTGTCGGTACGTTGTCTAGAGGGAGTATCTGGCAGAGATGGTTGCTGGCTATTAGAAGAGTCTGAGTCTGGCTGAGTCTGAGTCTGAGTCTGAGTCTGAATGTCTTGCTTGTTTTCTAGCTTGGCGAGTCGATTAGCTTTGTTAGCCGCTCGAATAATCGCCTCTGGGTCTGGCAAAGGTCCGGCTTGACCAATTGGGTCTGATTTTCCCGCAGTCCAGTATTCATACGAAGAAAAAAAAGATGATCGACCGAATGGTCGGGATGGTTCTCCAGAGTGTGGAGAACCAGAGGTGTTTCGAACTGTAGTGAGATAATATGGTGATTGAGTACAATTGAGTTGATTCGGATTGAATGAGATTAAGTTTCAATTGGTATGGGGTAATTAAAATTGAACAGTTCGAAGTGATCGCTGTAAAGTTGGCGTCGGTGTCTCGGAATTGGGTTTGAGAAAAAAAAAGTGTAAGGTCTGTATGACCTTCACTCGAGATCACAATAACAGGGACGCTGTGAGGCACAGCGGGACAGGGTTTCTAGAACCCAAGAGACTTTTTATATTTCAAACCAACAGAGATCCCAGTAAAGGAGACTGGTTCCGAAGGATATGAGGTGGGAAGTCAGTCCCAGATCACTCTAACCATCATAACCACAACTATAGAACAAAGTAAGAGAAAATGAAAAGAAATAAGACGTACCTGGTTCCGAAGGATATGAGGTGGGAAGTCAGTCCCAGATCACTAAGGAACCAGGAGTAGAATTTGAAAACAATATATATAACGAAACAGCATCCTTAAGTTTAAGTCCTAATTATTAAGTATTTTGATCTATGTGTAATGTAATGACCGTAGGTCTTACAATACATCTTAAGAAAACTACATACCTTAAGATTCTCGATGACCTGATTGTGCAATCCCGCAAAAAGGTGAACTGATTGCTGAGCGGCCCAAGTTTTGGACCGCACCACAGCAGCTCAATTGACACAGTGAAAGGAGGCACGGAGTAGCGGGTCTTCAAAACGAGACCAAGGCAATGCGTGCCGCACAACCCACATGACAAGAATCATGTTCACCAGGTCAGCAGAAAAAGTCGGTCCTGAAAGATAATCGTCCAATTTTGATGACTTTCCTGTCTTCTTGGTCGCTTGGATTTGATCGTTGTATGAAGGTGGAAGTTTGACACCCGCCGCTATTGATTTGTGGCGGTTGACACACTGTGGTCGACCTTCTCCACCATCACGATGGGTCCATAAGCCCCAGTAGGACCGATCACCACCGGTATAAGACTTAGGACACCACCGACACTTGTAGAGTTGATTCTAGATAGATAGCAGGCGAGTCAGCTGCGCTGTGATTGAGAAAGAAAAGAAAGTAAACAAATTACCAACCTTAGGCTCATGAAAGTATTTAAGCAAATCCTGAACCCGGCTCGATCGGACTTTATTATATCCAGGGTCACCATTGTCCCCAAGAAATTCGATCTCGGAATCTTGATCCAGGTCCAATTCTTCGGGAACTTCAAAGGGCTATGACATCCGTTTAAACATGGAAATCAATTCCAAGTGACAGCCATCTCACCAAACAGATAAGGCTTACGTTTGATTTGTCCGATTTGGTTTTCTTGGAAGAACGGGGTGTGCCATTCGCAGATGCTGAAGCGATGCTGTCAGACGGTGATCTGGCGCGTTTGCTGATAGATGATCGAGCCTGGGAAAGAAAAGAAAAAAAAAAGAATGGTGAGTTTGTGTTCATTATTTCTTCATTTTGTTCGAAAAGAATACACACCTTTCCTCGTGTGTTGGGCTTCACCTTTGGTTGCACTGGTGCCTTCGTCTTCTTGGATTTGTTTGTTGTAGGTTGGATCATGGGTCGAGGTGATGCTAATTGACTCGCAAGAGGCCCAGGCAATTCTTCCTCATCTTCATTAGCCGAAAGAGCCGTACGAGAATCTTTTGGAGGCACGACAAAGCCTGGTTGAATTTGAGAAGGGCTGGGGGGACGCAATTGTCTGATCAAAGTGTTACCAGGAACCTGGAGTGTGCTCTGACTCGAACCTTGGGTTGATCTTTGTGAGGGTGCCATGTGTATGTTGTAGATAAGGATAAGATGAAAGAAAAGGGAACAAAAGAAAGGAAAGGATGATTAGGAAACGAAAGGTAGGAAAGAATTCGTCAGTTCTATATTGCCTTGTTGGGACTTCTCTCAGATACAGGCTAACCGTAATCGATTGACGAAGGAAAGGAGTGAAAAAACTGTGGAACCACAGGCGAGCCGGAATCGAAGTGGTTGCCAGTTCCAGGGATGGTCCATTGCGTTGACAGTTCTAGAGTAGCGCCACTTTGATTGCTTGGATCAAGTGTTGGTGTTCGAAGGGATGTGGCGAGATGGGAATGTGGCGATTATAGTGGGGTGACCTGACCTGTATCAGCCTGTACCCTTGCACCTGGGTACAGGGGTTTTTGGTGCACTATGTAGCGATGAGTGCAGGGCCGGGCCGGATCGCGGAGCGATTTCTCCGCTCTGAGATATCCCGGGGCTGGCGAGTGGGGCGGAGACTGCGCTACAAGTTACGGTGCGCATAGCGGCAAAAATACCACTATAAAATCGCTCCGCAGCCGCTTTTTTTTGCGGAGTGATTCCGGTATTGAACAAGCTGAATATATCCAATCGAGAGAAGATGTTTGAAGGAGACCAGATATATAAAGTCAGGTGGATAGAAATAGAAATGGATTTCGGGCAAGAGTAATAAAGAAATGATAAGAGAAAGTCCTGAGGCGAGGACTGGCGAGGAAGGAGAGGCAATGGGAGAAAGAGGATGGGGCGAGAAGAGAGAACCCCTTTGGACATATCCCTGTATATGTACAAAGGGTTTCTCGGTCTCGAAACTGTACATATGATATTTGTGAGATCCTTCGAGTCGGAGAAATGTCATTAGATGTCCATCGAATGACATCTATCTCACGGTACCAATCGTCAAAAAAGGGTTTTTTAGGTTTTTGCCCGATTTGGGTTAAATCTCGACGCAACACATTTGTGAGAAAAGTTACGGATGATTCTCATGACAACAGCTGTAAAAGACAGCTCAAAATGAAATTTAAGAACAATTCCACAATACATTTCGTAACTTTATACTTTCTTTCTTTCTTTTTACTTCTCAACCAACCACTTCAACACACAAAACACATTGTATCATGAACTCATCATTCACTTCTCATCCAATCACCAAAATATTCAATCAAGAACAGCCCATTAACTTAAGAACACTTCAAGGATTATTATCAAATCATGTTAAGCCTATTCTTTCTTCATCCTCAAAACAAACCACAATCTTAGTTCAATTCATTTCAGAGAAGGAATCGTGTAGACTTACTTCTTCAAGAGCTTGTAAAACAATGTATCTTTGTTTGTTATCTCCTTGCATCAATTGGAAAATCACAGGTAAAAAGCTATTTGAACTGCCGGCCGCGATATTACCTATTTATATAGACACGAGTATTCTCCAAGTGAGATCAGCTACTATATATAGAGAAAGAAATGTACCGGTAAGAAAGTCTTACCAATTGCAAAAGCAGTTGCATTTGAACAACAAAACTGACACGACTCTACCTAATTCACCTAAGCAAAGTTAACTCAAATAACTCAACTTTTTCATCATTCAGATCATTTCGTGAAGAATTGGAACATTTAGTAGATTCCAGCCAAAGGATCCTGCAAATCACTGTACCAATGCAGCATGAATAAGTTTGATAAGATTGAAGTCCAGTGGCATGATTTCCATTACTTCCACTACCAGTATTAGGATTGAAATTCACACTACTTTTAGCTTGAGATAATGCGATTGAAGTATCAACTGTACTGACTAATGCATTGCGTAAGTTAGATGCATTATCTATCCTGATTGAATAATTTATGTAAAGAGTGTAACAAGTCCTTCTATAAAGCTAATGATTTCATGATAAGGTAACCAGGTGCCTTAATAGCATATCTATCAGTAGATGTCAAATCAGATGCCACAGGGAAACTCAATCCCAAAGTCTTAAAGGTAAGAGGTAATAAATGGGGATCAGAACTGTTGATGAGTGGATGTAAATAATACACTAATGAATGAATCGTATCCAGTCGTAGTTTACCAGGATCACATTGAAGGAGTGCATCCAAACATTCAAAACAGGAGATTTTCAAAGCTCGATTCTTTCTTCGCAAAAAGGCAGCTGTAAGAGGTAAGATATCTTGAATCCATTGATCAAATGCTTCTCCTTTAGGAACAGAAGATCTAGCAATATTTGTCACTACTTTCAAAGCGCTAGTCCGGGGGATCTCATTTTCAAGACGTTGAGTCAACATTGGTAAAGAGTTTCGGAAGTCGTTCTCAAATTGATTGGCAGTATGTGAAATCAAGGATTCTAAATAGATAGCTGTTTGTTCTTTTACGTCTTGATCAGCGCTAGATGAAGTTAAAAGAGAGGGGATGTGAGAGCCAACGGCTTAAGAATTTTAACCAAGAGGAAGGCGACAATGAAGGCTCCACTAGCAATACGGTGATACTTATCAAACTGTTGCCAATCTGGATATGCGACCCTTAGCATTTTGTGTTACAAACCTGTCAGAGCAGGGATGATTATGGTTCAGAACAGATCTAATGAACCTAAATCAAAATCCCACGAATTGAGTACTCACCTTTCACCCAAGAATCTAATAGAATATCTTGGATCAGTTTATTTCCATCACAATAATAAAGAAAGGAACAAGATATGAATGAAACATGATTGAAAACTAAATACCTGTCAGAGCAGGGATGATTATGGTTCAGAACAGATCTAATGAACCTAAATCAAAATCCCACAAATTGAGTACTCACCTTTCACCCAAGAATGTAATAGAATATCTTGGATGAAGAAGGAGACTTGCTTCGCTGCTCTTCCAGGTTTAACTTTAATACCAGTTGAAAACAATGATTAAGTTAATAACGATGACAATCAGTTGTAAACATAACATAAAACACTTAAACGCTACATGTGAATTAACAAATGATATATGAAATAAAACATAATTAAGTCAAAATACATAACAAGATTGAAAACTTTAACATTTCGTTTAGCATGGATGATGGAAATTTTGTTTTGGATAATGGTGCTATGCTTGAGAGTTTGGTAGAGTCTGAAGACCAAGGAGATGCAGTGATAGATCGTCATCGAGTGGTCGTAGTTCTGGTGCTGGTGCTGGCAGTAATACGAGTCCATTAGCTACGGGCCAGGCCATCTAAGCTATTTCATTTTTGCCTAAAGTCTACGACTTTAGGCAGGTGTCACGTAAGTGGACAGAGACAACTCTGGAACAAATCAATGTATTGCATTTCTCTTAAGTTTGTAATTCTGTACTACGTGTACGCCACACAGTAGGTGTGGTGTTTGGGGTAGGGGGCGTGTTGGTACCTCAACCGGGTCACCTGACGGAACAACCCATGGCGTCTCTGAATGGAGCTAACACCGCGTCCGACGGGAGGCCCAAGAAGAGGTCAAACCAAACGACACCAACACGCAGAGCAAAGACACAAAAACCGTTGCCTAGGGAAAACCACAAAAGGGGCAAGCGATACACCCACAACTCAGGTTTGTTAACAAGCCAGAGCCGCGCAAAAAACCCCAACCTTGTGGATAAACCTTGGTAACGTCAATATGCCAGCCTTCTACCCGTTCAACAAGTTGAGTATGTTGATATTCTCCTCTAATTCAAGTGAGGAGTAGTCTCGTAGGTACAGTTTGTAGCACGACAACGTCCAACGTCCCAATGCCTTGATGTCTTTGTGATTCACCCCAAGAGCGGAGCGTAGTGAAGCACCACCGACTCTAAACGAGTGACCTGATATCCCATTCCAACCACGTGCAGTCCAAACTTGAACGCATCTGGACACAACTGTAGATCTGGTCAAGTTCATCCTAGTCTTGGAATTTGTGAAGTAACCAAAAAGTGAAGAGGCGGGTCCGCCACTGATTGCTAGACGGCGTGTTATGGCCTTTACGGGGCATAAAACGTTGGGTTGGGCATTTGGGAGAATTAATTGTGCAACTCCTACTTTTGCTGTTTTAGCGCCGCAAACTTGTAGAGTGACGGAAGACAAAAGCACCGATGCCTTCAGGACGTCACTCTTCCATACTGAATTTAGCCAGGCAGTGTCCCCGACGGCATTACACCTGTGTGCACCAAAAAGCACCAAGTCTATTGGATGATACTGACACCTGTATCATCCTATGTCATTGGAAAACCCCCCTTTAGAATTTGTTAGTAAGATAGGTGGTCCTAAGGTGACCTAGAAATATCACTAAGTCCCCCTCCTCCCAGGGGGGGGCCTTGCCCCCCCAACTGCACCAAAGGCAAATCTTACTACTTAAGCAGGAATCTTACTACTCAAATAAAACTCTTACTACTCGAGTACAAATCTCACAACTCAAACACAAAACTCACTACTCGTGTAAAATTCTTACTACTGGAATAAGATTCTTACTACTCGAGTAACAATCTCACTACTCAGCTACAAATATCACTACTGAAACATAAATGATTACTACTTCTGTACATATATGTCCACCCAATCACAGACCCTTACCACCCAAATATATATCTTACTACTCGAGTACATGTATTACTACTCAACTCCATATATTACTACTGAAGCACAGATGATTACTACTTCAGTACATATATAACTACTCAAACACATAATCTTACTACTTACTCACTCCATATATTACTACTGAAGCACAGATGATTACTACTCGAGTACACATGTTACTACTGGAGGACAGAATATTACTACTTCAGAGACCGTACGAAAACTAACTCACACTCGCTATCTCACTTCCAATACCTCACTAACTACAGATTCACAACATCTCAAACCCATTACTATCCAAACCCCCCAATCGCACAACTCAAGCACTTCTCAAACAACGAGTCACGCCTGAAACATAAGTACTTCTTTGCACTTACATAACCACATCTCCGTAGCATACCTTCAACACCACCTGGCAGTGTAAAGGGAATTTCACAACCTCCATTACTTCAAGTTGTCACTTTATCCAAAGTGCCCAGTAAGTCAACGATCCCATCTCTCACTCATATGTCCTACGAAATGTATTAAAGTATCTAACCCAAGTCCTCATTCACGTACACCTAGTACAACAATTGCGATGGTGCGACCTGGCCTTTGCAGGACCCGGATACAATCAGCGTCCCCTCCTACATCATCTGACAAAGAAGACAGCTTACCCAGTATTACTACCACCGTACGGCGA